AGTCTGTGATAAATTCTTTGAATTTTTGGCTAGCAACCTGTCGACAGTCATCGTGATTTATTCGACATGCCCATTCGGTTAGATAACTCGCCAGAATACTGCAAGTTCGAGAGCTTACAAAAATGATCATGAGAATTACTTGACTGTTTCAAATGTTTCCTTCAAGTGGAGATGGATGGATGTCTCATGATGCCATCAAAATGAAGTGCGTTTTGAGGGACGACATCCAGCCGTCCGCATTCCTGCAGATAAAACGAGAAAAACCGATGCTATGCTCACGTAAACTTGTTGTTGAGGCAATCTAGAGCCAGATTAAATTAGTACACAATCTAATCCAGAATCAGAATTTATTAATCAGATGAGAAGTTTCATTCGTATGTGACATACTCGTGACTCCAATCACCAGTTTTTTGCCATCCCAACGAACTGTATTGCTCACTGATAATCCTGCCGATGAATGCCTGCAGAATCATTTGTCGAATTCGAAATTGCATTTCATATTCAATCAGAGTGCAATACCGTATAAACATGTGAAGCATGTGTCAACGATTGTGATCAAATCATGATACTACACTCTGGTTGTGGAATCATTGTAAGTGTATGTATAGGATGTGCTAAAAACACAAATAGAATCAACTAACTGTCAATTTGTCCCAAACATCCGTATTCTGGAACATCTCCATGAAGAGCTCCAACGTCGGTTTGAATGTGTACCATGCGGCCAACTCACCTTCTTTCTGCAGCGTAGCAACTATATCCATAACTCTGTTCCAATCCAGAGATCCTCTCCTGAATACGGACAGTTTTTGTGTGTAAAAATGCGAACCTAAACGATTTCAAACGTGATAGAAGCCTTTTGAAATGCTTTCTTGAGGGCTGAAGCTCAGTTTAGAACGGTAATTATAAAGGGCACATCATAGAAGAGTTTAGGTTAGATTATGGAAGCAAGTAATTTCACTGTTTGAACTACAACACACGCTTACTGTTGCAATGCGATTGCATCCGATAGAAACTGTGCTCTAGTGAGTTCATCAAAAACGAGTGGGTCGTCTTGAAGTTGATTCAAGATGGGTGCCCAAGTATCTGCATCATACCAAACACGATAGAAACCCTAAAATAGAGATCAAAAATAGTTGATCATTAACTTCTT